TAATCAATGTCCTGTACAGCCGCAACATGATCTGCCAACTCCTATACTCAATCCACTGACCAATAGCGGCAACATACCCAATGCCTTCTTCATGATCCTATCTACCTGGGACTCGACTTTCAAGGAACTATGAACCTGCACTCCAAGGTTTCTTTGATCAGCAACACTTCCTAGGACCTTATCAATAAGTGTTTAAGTTCTGCCCTAATTTGCCTTTCCAAAATGCAGCACCTCACATTTATCTAAATTAAACGCCATCTGCCATTCTTTGGTCCATTGGCCCAACTGATCAAGATCCCATTGTACTCTAAGGTAACCTCCATCGCTGTCTACTACACCTCCAGTTTTGGTGTCATCTGCAAACTTACTAACCATACCTCCCATGTTCATATCCAAATCATTTATATAAATGACAAAAAGCAGTGGATCCAGGACCAAACCTTGTGGCACACCGCTGATCACAGACCTCCAGTCTGAAAAACAACCCTCCATTACCACCCTCTATCTCCTACCTTCGAGCCAGTTCTGTACCCAAATGGCTAATTCTCCATCTAATCCATGTGGTCTAAACTTGCTAACCAATCCATCTCAATAAAATGGGAGACAAACAGTTCATTTCTAAGCACAATGACTTGACCAATCAGAGTCAACCTGCTTGCTTTCAGTTTCAAATAAATCTTGGCGGTTAATTGTCAGTCGTCACCTAACTCGTGCATTCTCCATGGCAATGCTCAACCAATTAGAGTCCACTTGCCACCAAATCAACACCTTGTTCTCGTCCGGTGTAAATGTCATTTTCCTTTATACTGGTATTCTTATGAATTGTCCTCATGAGTACAAGACAAAAAACTCGATAAAATATGTCTTTTTGCAACAAGACTCAATAGGGGCCTTCCCTCATTATCCTGGCAATCGTTTAGCCCTCAACCTTAACCAACACCACTAAAACAAATGCACTGGTCAATCACTGTATTGCTGTTAGAGAGATGTTGCTACATGTAACTTGTGAAAAGTGAAGTGTGAGTGAAACAATTATTGCAATAACATAAATTTCAGCACTTTAAAGGTGGTAGTGAAGTGCTTTGAGGTGCTATAGAAATGCGAGGTCTCTTTTACAGAGAAGGCAATTCACAAAGGATTTCAAAGGATTTTTTAACCTATACTTTGAATCTTACCTAATCATAACCTCAGAATTATATACATGATGGAAGAGGCTAGAAATGAGATAGTCTATGAAATCTTTTAGTGTACCAGGCAATGCTTTCCTGGGGGTGTTCCTGGAGTGGTTAATAGGTGCAGGAAACAGAAAGCTGCAATGTACTTCACCTTGGTCACTTGATATTCTCCCATCATAGGCCACTGTCCCTGGTTGGTCCATTTACTGAGAAACCCAGGCAGCAAAGAGATGAAAGACCAACCATCCGAGTGTGCCTGACCACCTGCAGCAGGGTCTTCTCAAGGGCTTCCATTGACCAGACAACTCCAGGACACTTGTGCCCACTGAGAGCAGAGTCCCAGACTGAGTCTGGATGACCCCAACCAGGACTGAGTAGGGAGGACAGAGGGAGGACAGAGGAAGAATGAGCTCCATTCTGCTGACTTTGATCATAAGTTATGAGGAGGAACCAGGAATAAACCTTAATTTCAGCACAGAATGTTCGGAAGAGGAACTGTGTGGCACACAGTGAGAGGATAAGAGAGGATAGTGGTGGGAGGTGGTGGAATATTGGTAAGGTTACTGAGTGAGTAACCAGAACCCCATTGTGAGCATGTGATGTTTGAACGGCAGATGGTAAAATTTGAATTCAATTTAAAAAATCTGAAATCAAAAGCTAGCCTGGCAGCGACCATTTAACCATTGTCTATCGTTGTAAAGACCCATCTGGTCCATTAATGCCCTTTAGGGACGGAAATAGCCATCCTTACTTGGTCTGGCCTACATGTGACTCCAGACCCACAGCAATGCAGTTGACTCTCAACTGCCCTCTGGTCAATTAGGGATGGACAATAAATGCTGGCCTAGCCAATGACACTCACATCTCATGAATGAATTAAGAAGAACTAAAAAAAACAGATTGAGTCAAGAATATTGAGAGAGAGCAAGAATGACAAGGTCTGAGCTGAAAGGACTGACTAACTTGTATGTTGCTGAACATTTATGCCTCCAGTTATTCTTGTATAAGTTTAGTAACAACAATTGATGATGTTGTCCTCAAAGTATAATGTTCTCAGGTGTTGGAGGATTGTTTATAATGGAGAATTTTATTTTTGGACACTGAGACCACTGATCAGAAACGCAGTAAGCACTGACTGTACATTGTATTCATTAAGTTACCGCTGCAGACTGTTTACTCTAGTCAAAGATACAACCCTTATTTGTCCAGCTCATCCGGTGCTCAGTGGATGAAGAAAATGTGCTTAAAAGGTTGTTGAGACAATGAGGTAGCAATTTAATGAGCAGTAAATGGCAGCCTCATTTTTCAAATTAATATGCCCACAAGTTCACTTTAAAAGGGGCATGAAATTGGCCCTTTTGTAATGGCAGCGACAACAATAACTTGCATTTACATAGCACTTGAAATGTTGTAACACTTCCAAAGTGCTTCACAGTGGAGCAATCAAACAAAATGTGAGGACCGAGCCACATAAGGAGACCATTAAGTCTCGTGTCCTAAGCAGAGGTCAAGGGGAGGTGCTGGAAGTCCTCAAAGGAGGAAGGTAAAAATGGTAAAGCAGTTTAGGGAGGAAATTGTGGAATGTATGACCTTGGCAACTAAAAGCATGACCATCAAAGGTGGCTGATTAAAATCAGGGGTGTGACTGAGACCAGAACCAGAGGAACACAAATATCTCAGAGAGCTGTAAGGCTGGAGAAAGTTTTTGGTATGATTTGAAAACAAACTCCATCTCCAATAAGAGAGAATCTAACCATTTCCCCTTGGCATTTAGCAGCATAACCATCACAGAATTTCAGGCACTTACCATTAATCAGAAAGTTGTCTGGACCAGCCATATAAATATTATGACTATACCAGAACGTCAGAGCCCAGAGTACTGCACCTCCTGACCTCTCAAGGCTTGTTACAAGTCAGGAGTGTGATTGAATATCCTCTGCTTGCCTGGATTTGTGGCATTGATAGTATCACTTCCAATCAGATTGGCCAGCTGCACCAAAACTGAGCAGTCGTCACTGAAGGAATTGCAGGTGGGTTCCTAGAAGAATGCAATATGGACCCGAGAGACAGGGAAGTCAGGGCTATTGGAAGGGGAACGATTGAGGACACTAAGGATGGAAGTTGTCCAAGGTAAGAGGCCAGCCTAGAAATAACAAGGCACAAGAGTGGGCCAAATATCTTGGAAGGGGTGCCCCAATGTGTCCAGCACACCACCTGAAACATGTAAACCGCACCCCCCTTGCCTTTTGACCATTTGTTTTTAAAAAATGGTCTTCCCAACACTCGCCCGCCCAACCATGCCGACTATGTTACAGTATGGACAGTGGAAGACCTAGGTTCATCAGATTGTTAACAGGCTTGGTTGGCCAGGCATTATTGTTTAAAATGACAGGCAGATTGTCAATTTCAACACTTACCCAATTACGTTGTTGTGGGGTGGGTAGAGGATGAACAAAAGGTCACCCAGCCCCTCCAAGGAAACATGCTCAGGAGGGGTGGCCGCCATATAATTCAAGCCCATGTCACTGGAATATTAGTTCAGGCCTTTGGTTTACACATCCAATATCATAAACACTACTCTGCACTAACAGGGTTTCTACCTTCTGAATGATAACTAACCAGGTCAGTGTATATCCATGGTCAGTTATGGTACCAAGGATTACGCATACCTGTGACAATCGGTGCCTGATAGCATCATCAAATGTGATTTAATGACTGTTGACCAGTTTCCTGATCTCACACAGCTGGCAAAAAGTAGCAGAGTGTCTGTTTGAAACTTCCTGCTCACCAACACCAGGGAGTGAAAAATGAGGAAGAAGTCAAATTCTCAACTGCAAAATGTTTACAGGTTGCAGTTAGTCATACAGTAGTCACAGAGTCATACAGCACAGAAACAGACCCTTCGGTCTAACTCATCCATGCCAAACAGATAACCTAAATTAATCTAGTCCCATTTACCAGCATTTGGCCCATATCCCTATAAGCCCTTCCTTTTCATGTATCTATCCAGATGCCTTTTAAATGTTGTAATTGTACCAGCTACCACTTCTTTGGCAGCTCATTCCATGTACGCACCACCCTCTGTATGAAAAAGTTGCCCCTTAGGTCCCTTTTATATCTTTCCCATCTCACCTTAAACCAATACCCTCTAGTTTTGGACTCCCCCAGCCTGGGGAAAAAGATCTTGTCTATTACCCTATCCATGCCCCTCATGATTTTATAAACCGCTATAAGGTCATCCCTCAGACTCAGACGCTCTATGGAAAATAGCCCCAGCCTATTCAACCTCTCCCTACAGCTCAAACCCTCCAACCCTGGCAACATCCTTGTAAACCTTTTCTGAACCCTCTCAAGTTTCATAACATCTTTCCTATAGCAGAATTGATTGCAATATTCCAAAAGTGACCTCACCAATGTCCTGTACAGCCACAACATGACATCCCAACTCCTATACTCAATGCATCTGAGAAACAAATGTTTCCATTCTATTTAGGTTCATATTGGTGCTGCAGGTATTTGAGTAAGTATTGTATTGCAATGTTGCAGTATGTGAGCTGAAACAAGCTGACTGTTTCAGTCCAGGAAGACAAGAGTTTCTTGGACTTGTCAGCAGTCTAAAAGTTAACAGCTCTTCCTGCTCGAAGTTCTGTACTGAACAGATGGACTTTTATCACCTATGTTCAAATGGCCCACTAAAAACACCGATAGGCAATTGCAATTCTTGTCACTGTAATTCCAAAAGTAGTTATGTACCAGATGCAAATCATATTATCAAACATCAGAAACACTCTCCTTGCCCACACCCAGAAAATGAGAACAACTTACCAGCACCAATTGTGGAGGCTGCACGGAGATGAGACTTTCTGGCTCTGACTGCTGTTGCTTGGGTTCTTCCTTACTGCAAACAAGAAGCACCTTTATTCACCTGGGTACATCACCTCTGTTATAGCAGTACTCCAATCACAGATTCACAAGACTTTCAAGCCCATTTAGCCACAGATGGCCAGAAACACACTATCCCAAAGCAGCCCATCTTCATCAATCAGCTACAGAGAGTTGGAGGGCTCTGGGCTCATTCTTACAATTTCTCCTGCTCTTTGAGTTTCATGTCTCTCTCCTATCTTGTGCTCCCTGCATGCCAAGTCCCTCAGATGCCACAGTGCCAGGAGGAGACATGAAAGTGGGCACACGTTTCTTGTTCAGTTGGATGGTGAAGGGGAAGGTGTGGACTGTAGAATGATCAGAGTAAACGTAGGAAGGCCCACATCCAGCATCCTGTCATATGATTAAATACCACCCCACCAGCAATCTCCTCATCAGGAGGACCATGCAATTCCACACTGATAAACACACCCTGGTGTGGTAGAGACCCAGGCCCAAGTATTCAGGAAGGGATAGAAATCATCATAGCTACATTTCTGCTGAGAATACTGTGTAAAGTATTTTGGTTGTTTTAATTGCCTATTGGAAAATATCTTTTCTTTAGTTTGCTGTGTTTTTTGCTCATTAAATTATGTTCAGTCTATGTCAATTTTAATTTGTTTACTACCGTAAAGTCTCAATGTCAAATTTTTACAATACAATATAGCACAGGAACAGGCCCTCCGGCCCACCAGGCCTGCACCGATTCCTAATCCTTATTTAGACTTGCTACTTAATGCCCATGCAGGGTTTCTATCCCTCTGTTTGACTCACTTTCATGTGTCTATCAAGATATGCCTTAAATGTTGCTAACATGCTTGCTTCCACCACCTCCACTCACAGTTCATTCCAACCACCTACCACCTTCCCAACACTTCACCCCTAAACTCTCCCCTTCTCACCTTAAACATCTGCCCTCTTGCAATTGGCCTTTCCACCCTGGGAAAAAGCCTCTGACTATCCACCCTATCTATGCCTCTCATTATTTTGTAGATCTCTATCAGGTCGTCCCCTCTGCCTCCATTTTTCCAGTGAAAACAATCTGAGTTTGTCCAACTTCTCGTCACTAAAACCCTTCAGGCCAGGCAACATCCTGGCAAACTTTCTCTGCACCCTCTCCAAAGCATCCACATCCTTCTGGAACTGCACGCAATATTCCAAATGTGGCCAAACTAAAGTTCAGCACAGCTGTAACATAACTTGTTAACCTATATATTCGATGCCCCGGCCAATGAAGGTGAGCATGCTGTATGCCTACTTGACCATCTTATCCATCTGTGTTCCCACTTTCAGGGATCAGTGGTCCTGTGTGCCCAGATCCCTCTATATGTCAATATTCTTAAAGGTTCTGCCATTTACTGTATAATTCACAGCAGAATTTGATCTTCCAAAACACACCACCTTGCATTTGTCTGGATTAAACTCCATCTGCCTTTTCTCTGATTCTGTTCATCAGTGACCAAGGTGATGCACATCCCTTTATAAAGTTATCAGTCTCTACAGTGGTCATAACAATATAATCCCTGAATCAAAATTGCTCAGAAAGTATCTCATGTGTGTGATAATTTCTTTAAAAGGTGAACAGCCTATCTCCTCATGGCAAAGACAAGCAAGGAAGCCAAAGGAATTGGTGTGGAAAGACTATAAATATTTTCATTGACTGTAAGGCTGTTGGTTTCTGCTCAGTGAGTTGTGACTGAGGATGAGGCATTCCCAATAAGGGAGGAAGGGAAAGTTTTGCTTTTATCCTGTTTCCAGCCATTGTTTCAATGTCATTCTGCTCCTCTTCCGCTCTTGAGCTCTGACCTGTTCGAATTTGATAAAATTTAAAGTTTGCTGTAGGTTCTCCACACTGATTTGATGACACCACACTGATTAATGTCTCCAATTTCTCACCAAGCACGCACCCTCCTTTGCTTATACCCAATGTGGGCTCCACATTCCATGGATGTGAACAACCTACTTCAGGTGCAAAGGTGACACTGTAGCCAGAACAGAAAACTCTCACCTCAGGAGAACGAAACCTTCCCTCAGTCCAGGCTGCTGCTCACTGAATGTGACCTACAAAATAAAATTGAAGAGAGGTGAAGAAGACCATGAAGTGTGTGATATCTCCAAATGGGCTGGTATAACATCAAGTGTAGCTCAGTAATATCACACATACCTCACTCCAGACACGTGGAGCGAGAAGTCCAGCCTGTTACTCCAGTGCAGTACTGAGGGGGCACTAACTGCTGGAGAAACTACTTTTCAATGAGGCATTCAGTTGAGGTCCTACCCGTCTTCTCAAATGGGTGTCACAATATCTCACAGCATTATTCAAAGAAGAATGGGAGAAAAGAGAGTGTTTCCCCTGGTGTTCAGGTCAATATTTATCCTCAGTCATTATCACTGAAACAAATGACCTCGTGTTTGTGAACTATTTAGATGCCTCATTTCCTAAAAAATAACAGTGACTGCACTTCAGAATTACTTCATTGGCAGTGCCTCTGGGGGGGGGGGGTGTCCTATGAGCATGCAAAGTGCTACAGAAATGCACATTGTCCCTTTCTTTCAACTGTTTCTTTCTACAGAGCTGTGGAAGTGTAGAGGTCATTGCTCAGTGGCCTGCAGAATGGAGCAAGTTCATAAAGATTCTCTGAGAGTGCCGATGGGAACCCCTACTCAGCAGGAGGCTGGTGTGGAGAATCGGCACAGCAGTGTGGTATCCCAGCCTCCGAGAGAGGATGTCCACAGGAGGAGAGGCAAATAGCTCTCCTGAACCTCAGCCACCCCGACTGGCTCTTACTTTGCAAGTCAGCAATGTGAAAGTTTCTGAGTGGTGAGCTGTGTGCACCAGGAGTTCCTTTGAGGCAGCTTCACCATTGACAATGGGATTCAGAGCAAGCTCTCCCAGTGCTGTGATCCCCAATCCACTCGTCTCTCTCGTTGCCTATAGCTGTTGACCTACGGTTGCATCTTTGGGACATAAACGTCACTGAAGGATGGCAATCTCTCCATTTAGCTTGCTTTACAGGGTAGACCTGTCACTAATTAGAGCAAGACAGAGACTCATGACATTAAATGAGGCTAGATGCTATAGTTAGACCCCAGAATCACGCCTCCGGGGCCTGTTCTGATTCAGAACCATCCCAAAGACTGTACAGATCAATCAGCATTGACTTTGAGAAGACTCAACCCAGCACGTGGCAACTTAGATGAAAGTGGATCCATTCATGATTTTTTAGTGGTTTTACATGGGATAGCAGGTGAACCCAGATCCATACTGCCTTGAGTCATGTTAAGAAATCCTGTTTGTTTTACATACAAAAACATTCATGCTAGTTAAAAGTTCAGTTAAATAGAGTTTTAAGGAACTGTAAAATAATCAGAGATGCTGCCTTCCATCATTCCCATTGCTGTATCCCTACACTTTGTTACTTTGTGTTCTCATTTCCCTACCAGACAACATCATTCTTTGATACAAGTCCATTCAGCATTTTGTGCCACAGCTTGCCACTTGGGCTACCATGTTGGATGTATCTGTGCTGATCTGAATGATGAGTTTCAGTTTTAACATGTTACATTCCAATCACTTTAAACAGGACCCAACCCAGAGAAGATATCAAGATGTGCAACAAACTGTTGCATCATGTTGTCACAGGGATTCATAGATCATAGATCATAGATCATAGAATCCCTTCAGTGTGGAAACAGGCTCTTTGGCCCAACAAGTCCACACCGACCCTCAGAGCATCCCACCCAGACCCATCTGCCTAATCTACACATCCCTGAACACAATGGGCAATTTAGCATGGCCAATCCACCTAACCTGCACATCTTTGGACTGTGGGAGGAAACCGGAGCACCCGGAGGAAACCCACGCAGACACGGGGAGAATGTGCAAACTCCACACAGACAGTCACCCAAGGGTGGAATCGAATCCAGGTCCCTGGCGCTGTGAGGCAGCAGTGCTAACCACTGAGCCACCATGCTGTCCCTTTCTTTACACAATCCCAATTCAGAGGTTATTGTTAAATAAAATTTATTGGACATGATGCGAAGGTTACAGAGCAGAATCTTCTGTGCCCATACAAGTTCCGACCTCCTAGCACATGACCTCTGAGTTCATGATTACATCACAGCTTACATCTGAAACTCACCTACATATTCATTAAACACAGACAGGAGGAAATGAGTTACTGACCAGAGGATCATGGCTGGACACTTTCTAATACCAGTCACCTGGTTCCCCCAAACCCACCTTCCTCCACCCTACCACCTCCCCAATTCCTACAGCCATCTCATCTCCTGGGAGAGGTGAAAAACTGCAGAAGAGGAAAAACAGGCCATAGAGAGATAAAAGTAACCAAGATAATTTCTCTCCAATACTCTTATAATTGAAACCAGTTCAGGAATATACAGGACCAAGTATTATCAGCCAACCGAGTTCTGAGGTAGGGTCACTCAACCTGAAACGTTAACTCTGATTTCTCTCCACAGATGCTGCCAGACCTGCTGAGCTTTTCCAGAAACTTCTGTTTTCGTTCCTGATTTACAGCATCTGCAGTTCCTTCGGTTTTTACTGTCAATAAACCACTTGCCTTCTATATCCTGAAACTAGCCATAACTGATACATTGAGGGGCGGAATCTGAAAGTGAATGCATTGAGGTGGATTTGCCCACTTACCTCTGAGGGTGGGATACCGTCCTTCTGTCCCCACAGATGTAGGGCATTATCTCTGGGAGGGGTGGCCAATGGAAGGAGGGAGGAGGCAGACTGGGAGCGCTGGAGGGTGAGTGACAGCTTCTGCAGAGAGCTCATCTTCCTTCACAATCCTGTCAGCAAAAAAAAAACATAAGACTTAGTACAGAACAGAACAGAAGGGTCACTTCGGCCCACCGCATCTGATAGCTCAGAAAGCTGAAATTGAGAAAATTAGTGTGGAAAGCCGGGCGAGGGGGAGATTTGAAAAGTTTTATTTTTGAATTGATAGGTTCAGAGATTTTTTTTTCAGTCTCTGTCAACACTGGGTCCTATCAGGTCAAGGAGAGCACAGAACCGAGAGTATAGAGTCTCTCCTGTGTAGAGGCAAGGTATGGCCATAGCTCAATGTAATATTTAAACCCGATCAGTGAGTCTGACTAAACAGCCCTCAAAAAGATAGAATCAAGTGGGTTCTAGAAGCTTCCTGTCCCACCAGGACAGTGCAAGCCACACACCACTGGGCCATCGGCGCGGCACTAACCATTGAAAAGGCAGGGAGTGAGTCCATATAGTTCAGAATATCAGGGAAGGAAGGGAGAGAATGGATGTGTTTCAGAGTGACAGTGAGGACAGTGAGTGTGTTTCAGAGTGACAGTGAGGAGTGTGAGTG